CAAATGTATCTAACTAATTTCAGGGCCGAATTCATGCTTTGTCTAGGCTACCAGAGTGGCCCGGGGTCACTTGCTCGGCAGGGCCAAAAAATATATATATATATATATTTTTGAATTTTAAATTTTTATTCTAAATTTGGTGAAGAATTTTGATGTGACCCTGAGGCAAAAGTGTTCAGCTTATGTTTATGCATAATATAGGGTTTTTTTTTTAATTATTTTTTTGAATTTTTTTTTTTTTTTTTTTTTTTTATGGGACCTTCCTTGGTCCTTGCACGGGCTGGCCACCCGGGACCTGAGCGGCCCGGCTGGTAGCCTAGTGTTTCGTTTTTTTTTTTTTTAAGGAACTCATATATTTCAAAAGTCAATTGACGAGGCCAGGGACCTCACAATTCAACCCGGAGTTATCCCGACAGCATCAGTCGGATCAGCCGGTTTAAGCCAGATACACTAACCACTACCAACCCAATCTACTACCATAGACCCTAGGAGCAGAGTGGTCCCCTCATCTCTCACTGTCTGAAACACAATGAAGAACATGGGTTTGCCAAGACGGGTTTCTCACCATCCACCCAATGGATACATCTCAAGTTTGCTTTTCACCGGTTCTCTCTTTCCCTTCGGCTAGTCATGGTAGAGTTCCCATTGCCTCGTCACACTCCCACTGTTCAAGGTGGCACCTCTACTAGTAGTTCCGTTGACTTCACTCTGGCTATTCTAAATTACTTTCGTCTTCTGTTGGTGAATTTGGGCAAGAGCCTTTACAGAACAACTACATGCCAACTACATACCTCACCCATAATGATTCCCTCAATTCTATCCGGGCAAGTTTCTCATCCTTACTACCCACAACACTGTAAAGAGCTTGAGCTGCCGAGACGAGTTTCCTACTACACACCAAATGGATACACCTCAAGTTTGCTCTTCACCGGTTCTGTTGTTCCTCCCTACCAGTAGCGTTCCCACTGCCACTTGACCCACTCTCGCTGCTCGAGGTGGCACTGCTACTAGTGGCTCCGTGACGTTTGCCCTGAACTACTCTAGGTTAATTCCCTCTTCTATATGTGAACTACTACTGCGACCTTCTCAAAGCAACTATATACATACCAACTAATTTTCTCATTCATTATGGTTCCCTCAACTCAATCAGGGCAACGTTTTCAACCTCACAGTCCACAACACTGTAAAGAGTCTGAGATGCCAAAACGGATTTCCCACCACGCATCCAATTGATACACCTCAAGTTTGCTCTTCCCTGGTTCTTTTTTTTCCTCCCTACTAGTAGCGTTCCCAATGCCCCTTGTACCACTCTTACGGCTCAAGGTGGCACCGCTACTGGTGGCGCCATAAGTTTAACCCTAAACCACTCAAGAGTTACTTCCTCTCTCATCTTTAAGTTGCTGCAGTCACGTTCATCGATCGTGGCATCTACTAACACCTAATTAACCAAGTTACCGCCTGATCATATTGCGATGACCCATTGTTGTGTCAATTCGTATTTCTAAATGCGAGATACTATAGGCAAAATATATATGAAGAAAATATCATTTTGTACAACAAAGTTGAACAAACCCCCTCTCTAGAAGACGAGAGCTAGTACTAGAATCCTTGATTGCCTTGTCAAATTCCACCGATTAAGAAGGTTGCGCACCTGAGTAGAGCAGACCTGGATTACCTTGTTGAATTTGGCCTCGATCAAGATTGCAGATCAAAACTTACCGGTCAAAAACAAATTAAGAAAAACAGTGAGTACTACCCGGCAACGCAGCTGCCAGGCGTTGGATCAATCAAATCAATCAAAAGTTCATTAAAAATCTCAAAGAGCAATTACAGAATCTTAGCGAGGCAAGGCTATGCCTGAACATGATCAAGATCAAGAATAAACGATCAACGATGAAGAATCAGCGATCAAGGGTCAAGAATCACAGATCAAGGATCCAATACCATCGCACAAGGATCACAAATTAACGACAAAGGATTATAATCAACGATCGAGGATCATAATCAACGATCAAGGATCAAAGTCATCGATCGAGGATCAAGAAACAAAAATTAAGGATCATGAATCTACTATCATGAATAAAGAACCGAGGATCAAGGATTGGCAAATAATAATCAACGGGATCAAGGATCAAGAAGTGAGGATCAAATATCAAGGATCACGGATCTATAGGATTAAGAATCAAGAATCAAGGATTGAGGATTTAACGTAAGGGGATAATTTTACTGCCCAGGAAATTCAAGTGACAGCAACCTCAATCATTACCCTAGAATACGGCAGAAAAAACAAAGTTTATATTAACGTAAAAAAATACACAACCCGTAAACCTAACAATCTATGTCCAGTAGATGCATGATGCCAGAGGATCTAACTACCCATTAGCAAAGACCATGGCCAGATACTAAGCATTAAAATGAGAAAGCCAATGACTGCATCTGTATACAAGCACCGGAAGCAGAGCCTCAAAGCTCTAGATCTTCCACGAGATCTCATGCCGAGATTTGAGTTTTTGTTCAAAAATATTTCGACATCATGCTCCCACCATTGCTGAAGGCTCTCTCACTGCCCTCCGTGACGCCGTCCGGATCATTCTTCCAGTAGTTGCCCTTGTAGCTCTCGGTTTGCCGTTCCCAACCTTTGTCTGTGTCTGAGACTCGGGCCTACTTTCGCGGACACGCGTAATCAGCATGATGTTGCAATAACCGATATTCGGGTTTGAAGAGAAAATACTTCGGCAATTTCCAAGGATAGAAAATTAGGGAAGTGATAGGTGGGACAGAGGAGGAAGTCGCCTGGGGCCCCTATCCTTGAGTGCAAAAACATTCCCACTCCACTCAAGGAGAAATTCGATATGAGCAACCAAAGACATAGCTCAGCTATGTCTTCTTCCAGTCGAGATGTCAGCCTTTCCATACCACGTGGCCACATGACTTCAACTAGCGTTCTTTCCCGCCAAGCGTGGCCACAGAACTTCGAGAACGAATTAGCGTTGCCTTAGCGCTAACGTGGCGCTACCGAACGCTTACCGGTTTCCCTCCCCGTTTCGTTTTTTTTTTTCCTTTCTTGAGATTCATTTCTTTGTTTTTTTTTTTCCTTATTTTACTTTTTGATTCTGACAGAAATGCCACGGGGCTGATACACCCAAACTGCGAAGTGCTCACATTATCACTCAAGAGAATGCATCCAACTACATTCACATCCACATCGTTGTTGTTTTTTTGTTTTTTTTGTTTTCCAACTAATCCCCCTAGCCTCGGCCCGTCCAACAACTGGTACTACCAGGCTTGACAGGCTCGACATACCGGTCGTTGGAGGCTCGGACTTGATAGTTGGGCCAAGTACTGGTGGTTTAATCCATCCAATCCTCTTTGCTAGTGGGACCTCGCCCCCGGTCCAAGCATTGCGCGGGCTCCTACACATCTCCGCAATGTTACCGTAACTCTCTTTCTGTAACCAGCGGGCCTAGCTCAGTTGGCAGGCCCATGAACTGTTGCAATATAGACCCAAGCTCGAATCCAAAGACGGGCAGATAACCATAATAAAATTAATATGAATTACTTGGGGCCGGTCAGGTCAAAGGCAAATTGCATCTGTACCCCACTTTAACCACCAATACCTACCGGTTGTCAAGGCCCGTGGCTTAGGCTACCGGTAGCCTGGTCATTGCTGAGCCTCGGACTTTATTACCGAGCCTCGGACAACCGGTAGTACATAAAAGGAAAA